TATACTGGATAGAAAAGATAAATATTCGATTAGTTATTTTGCCTTCAGGGTTATTATATCGTTTTAGTTTAATTTTTAATATTTTCAAACATTAATTTCAATTATATTTAGTAACATCTACTGGATATCCAGAAGCAAAATCCCAACTTAGTATTAAACGTCTTCGTCGCCTTACAAATAATTCTGATGACAATTTAATATTTCCCGACCCAGAATTGCCTAAATTGCCACAAGATTTAGAAAATACAAATTCTGATTGCCTTTTGTGGCAATATATTCAAGCAAAACCTCTGACATTAGAAAGTTCTCGTGAAGAAATTAAAGGGGTAATTTGTACTTTTTCTCTTCAAAAATTACATTAATTTTAGTTTTGTGTAGTAAATAATTCAACAGAAAACAACAATAATGGTTGGTGTGAAATTGAATTAAATTTAATTGTTAAACAATTTGGACATAAAACTATAAAATCTTTTCACCTTGAAAATGAAATAATTGAAAATTTTGATTTTAAATTTTATATTCAATTTACAAAAAGAGGACTTTGGCAAGTTGTTGGAATTCCCAACTGTGAGAATGGTAAATTAAAGATGGATAAATACGGGTTGGGGGTTTAATGAATATAGTAATAATTTTGGCTCTGTTCTTTCTTGAATAGAAAAATTAAAAATCATTGAATATACACACAACTTTGAGAATAAATTAAAAATTGAACATAAGGGAGGTTTTACCTAAAATTTATAAAATTTATTATTGTTCACTGATATTTCTTTAAATATTTATAAAGAGATACTAAATAATATTTTTTATTTTAATTTAGATGAAGAAGAAAAGAAACGCGTTGTCCGTTCAATATTATTCAAATATTAAATCATCAAGTGTCGAAGAGATAAAAAAGTTCTTTAATTCTATCTTATTTAAATGTATTTTAATACATGATAAAAACATTTAATTCAAACAAATTTATATGCACGTAAACAAGGTTTACGTTTAAGATGTAAAGGTAAAAGTTGGCGTATATTTCCTTGTTTTTCCAATATTGCCCTCTATTTGTCTTTGAGATTGAATAAATAGAAAATATTTTATGGATGTTTTTAAGGAAAATTATAAGTTGGTCAACAATGTTTGGCGAGTTTTGCTTTATTAGGCGTGCTAAAACGCAACTATTTTACACTCTTAAAGGTTGCTTTTTATGAACAAATTTTGCTGTTTTTGTTGAAAGTTAAACCAGAAACTTGAAAAATTTCATCAAGTTAAATTGTTTCATCTGTTCGAACAGAAATTAACAAATGTTCTTTGGTTTTTAACTAGCGATATAAAATAATAAAGGGAAAATAAAAGACTATTTTTTATCAATCTTCGGTAATTTATTTTAAAAAATTGTATAAACTTTTAAATTTTAATTTTCAAAAAGACGAGGGAGTAAAGTTAGAATGATAAAATTTTTTCCTAAAGATGAATGTGTCTCTTATAATAGACAATAAATTATAAATAAATATTGGAGGAAACAAAAAAAAATTATATAAATAAAAAAAGAATTGAAAGTACTAAAAGAGATGACGAAATCCTTTTATTAAAGAAAAATTTGTTTATCTTAAAAGGCTTTGTTTTTAATTGTTTTCAAGGAATATTTAGTAAATTTTTAATAAGGCGGTATTAAAAAATGATTGAAGAATTTAATCAAAACATTTAATTAAAATAAATAAATTTCAAAAATTTTATTTTTATTTAAAATATAATCAAAATCCACACATAGGATTCAATATCTTCCCAAATACCTTTCCTACCAGCAAATAAACAACGGAACTGATATTCGGAGTATTTACTTGAAATTAAACGAGCTTAACAAATCATACATATTTTTATATTAAATAAATTTAACAAAGAAAATAAGTAAAACCATAAATAAATTTTTAAAAAATTATGATTTCTTTACTTAAACTTTCTATTTATTTCGTTATTTTTTATTAGTTTTAAATAAATAATAGTTTAATAATTAAATAATATTTTACAAAAATATTAAATCCTCTTTAGTTTTAAAGAATATTATATACACATCAAGGCTGGCGTTAGTCCCGTGTCTCATATCTCGTGAAATCTCGTATTTTTTGAGAGGTCTCGTATCTCGTTTTATCTCGTTCTCGTATTTTTGAGAATCTGTATCTCGTGAATCTGGTGTCTCGTATTTTGTGGCACGAGCTGCACCTCTGATACACATTATTATAAAATTATCAAAATATATTTAATTTTCCTTTAAATTTAGGGTAAAAAATATTTAAATATGAAGTTTTGACGTCAATATTTTACTATAAAAACCTAAAAAGTTTGTTCATTCTTTCTTCATCTTCATTCTCGACTTCAAAAATTTTAATAATTATTTAATTCTTTATCGTCATTATTTAAATATTGTTGGCTTATACTATTAGAACTATTGGAAGTATTATTAGTTGTGTATAATTACAATATTTTGTTAATAATGAATGTTGAAAAATTATGGGAAGTTCAATTCTACCATGGAATGGTAAAATTTTGTAATTTTTATTTAAAAACATATTTTTTCAGTTGCCTAGGTCCGAAGCATTTAAATTACTTTCAAATGATGGGGATTTTTTGTTGCGATTGAGTAAACCAGATGGAACAGAGAAGATAATATTATCTACAATTCAGAAAGGGTCAGAATTCAATTTTGTAATAAAGTATTTCAAAAAATTAACAATAATTACTACACAAACAATCGAAGATTTAATGAACCAACAATTGAAATGCAGCAAAAAAAATTTGGTGGGTAAATTCTATGTAAAATTTGAAAAATATTCTTTAAAATTAAAAAAAAATTCACAAATAATTGTTTAATAATTTTCAGATTCAACACCTAACTCTCACTACTCCAATAAATAGACATCCGTGGGAATTAACTAAACAAAGTCTAAAATTTGGGATCGTTCTTGGATCAGGAGCCTTTGGAGTAGTTCGTAAAGCTGAATTAAATGGGAATAAAGTTGCAGTTAAAGAACAAAATGAGAGTTTTAAGTTATTACAAGAAGCAATTTTGATGCAAAAACTACAACACCAAAATATTGTTAAATTTATTGGTAAGTATTATAATGCTAATATTAGAAAAAACTAACTTTCCTGGTTCAACCAAAAAATTTGTGGTGATAATTTCGGGGTGGGAAAAGCAAACTCACAGATTTAATATTAAAGAAAATTAAATTAGTGGGGTTTTTTGTCCAAATAAATTCTAATTAAATTTAAATTAATTCGTTAATTTTTTTAGGAATAACATTGGATGCTCTCCCATTTATGTTAGTTATGGAGCTTTGCTTAAATGGAAGTTTGTGTGATTATTTACAATTAAATTACACGGATACTGGAACGAAAATTAAAATGTGTCTTGATGTCGCGTCTGGACTGGCTCACATGCATAACAAAAATATTATTCATGTGGACGTTGCTGCTCGCAATTGTTTGTATTCCAACAATCAAGTAAAGATTGCTGATTTTGGTTTATCTCGAATTTTACCGATGGGAGTGGTTTTTGTTAATATTTTGACCAATGAGAATCTGCCACTCCGATATCTGGCACCACAAACCTATCAAAATAAAGTACTAGGAAAAACAACTGATGTGTGGAGTTATGGCGTGATGACTTGGGAAATTTTTGCCAATTGCCAAACTCCTCCTTATGCCAACAATACCAATAGTCAAGTTAAGAACCAAGTATGTTTACTTAACCAATATTTAGTATTTATTTTATTTTTTAGATATTATCTGGAAAGATATTGGAATTTAATAGTTCAACTCCGAAGGAATTTTCTCAATTTGTAATCAACAAAATTTTCAACAAAAATGTAACAGAAAGAGCTTCAATGGATGAAGTTGTTCTAGCAATTGAAAACATGATTAAGGATCGGGTTAAGACAACAAATAAAGAAAAGAAAGGGAAGAAAAGAGGATAAATTCTTTCTCCAATTTTAATTCCGATTCTTACCCCAATATTTATCGAATTCTTACCTAAATATTTATTTCAAATCCTTACCCCAATATTTATCGAATTCTTACCTAAATATTTATTTCAAATCCTTACCCCAATATTTATCGAATTCTTACCTAAATATTTATTTCAAATCCTTACCCCAATATTTATCGAATTCTTACCTAAATATTTATTTCAAATCCTTACCCCAATATTTATCGAATTCTTACCTAAATATTTATTTCAAATCCTTACCCCAATATTTATCGAATTCTTACCTAAATATTTATTTCAAATCCTTACCCCAATATTTATCGAATTCTTACCTAAATATTTATTTCAAATCCTTACCCCAATATTTATCGAATTCTTACCTAAATATTTATCCCGAATTCTTACTTCATTATTTATCCCGAATTCTTATTTCATTATTTATCCCGAATTCTTATTTCATTATTTATCCTAATTCTTAACTCATTGCCCTATTTTCTTGACATATTCGTGTTTTTATATTTATAATGTATGCATATGATACATATATTGAAAAAAACGAATATTTAATAAAAATTTGGCTTCTAAAATCCCTTATTCAGATACATTTATTATTACCCAGGAATAGTTCTGATTTCGAGACATAATTTCTTAAATTCTTAGCGCCGCAAGCGAAAATTATGAAAAATACAAAATGTATTATATTTTTTCAACATTTTACATTCTTTCAACTTACGGTTATTTCAATAATTCGGCTACTTTAGACAAATGTAGAGAAATTTATATACAATATTTTCAACAGATGCAACAGGTAGAGCGTCAATGAATGAAGTTATTGCAATTGAAAACCTGTTAAGGAAGATAAGACATCAAAACAATTAAACATGGGAATAATAATGGCGATCATTATTTATGAAATTTATTTTGGCCTTCAAAAAATTTTTCCCGCGTCATAAAAAAAATTAAAAAATTTCGATTTTAAAACATTGAATAACAACAAAAAAATTAACAAAAATTAAAAAAAACTCAACAACATTTACATTTTTATGTGAAATTGTGTTTTTCTTCTATGTCTTTTTCTTCTCATTTGTTCAATTTTATTACTAGTTTCTGATATCGGTCTAATATTTTCTTCAAATTCTTTTTTGTTTGGCCGATATAAAGCATATTCTGGAGATGTTAATAAATCAAAGGATCCAGTCCCCTCTCTAATTAATTGACCCATAACTATACGAGCTGAAGGGCAAAAGAGAGAGTCAGAATGACCTGAAAGTAGAAAAATTTAATGTTTTGGGGAATATTTCAACAATTATTTACCAGAAACTATAGCCTTTTGCATAAAAACCATTGTAGTTTCATAAGTCATTTTCTGTAAGGGTGAGGGGCTATGAGCCATTGCAGTACGATTAAAAGCTTGGACATCCCCACCAAAAGTCATATAATCAGCAGTTAATGTTAAATGTCTTGGATTAACTTCAATTCCATAAACGCCGAATACATTATTCATTTCCTTAAAAATTTTTTTCTTTTTAAATCTTCAAATTTATTTTCGAAATTAGCACCTTAACAATAGTTCGATTTGCAGCCTCTACACCATAACAATTTAGCATAACATTAATATCGTTTGAATAAATTGTATTAACATCCAAAAATTGTACTCGATTGTAGAAAGCCTTTTTAAAAAGAAATTAAAGATTCGTAATGATTTCCAAAAAAAAATTCCCCCCCCCCTTAAAATACCTCCAAATTAATTCCTTGTGTTTGAAGTATTTGTATCATTTTCCCATTACGTTCTTCACTTCTAATCACACATTTTTCGACTTTACTAATTTGTGTTACTATAAATTTATCAATTTCCCTTTCAACTAATGCAGGCACATCAATTTCACATTTATTTCGAAGACGTAACTTTAAATAAATTTTACAACAAATAAATTTCTAAAAATTACCTCAAAAGTAATTGAACACCAACGCTCCTTACGAACATCATAAACATATTGTCTAACACAACCTTTGGTTACCATCTTAAAAAATAAAAATGTAAAAAATAAACTTTTTATTATTTCTAATTATTCTTGTTCAGCGATAGAATTTACAGGATTTTTAATACGAGTTTCAAGTCTAAATTTATTTTTTCAATTTTGACAAAATTTAAGTCTAAATTATTGTAAACTTACATTAACCCTTTCCTCGTCAACAATAAATTTGTGTGCATTTTTTATATTATTTGAGTCTTCCTCTTCATTATCATCTTTATCATCATCATTAGCGAGTTCAGCTTCACTATCTTCTTTTTCTTCTTCTGCTTCAATAAGTTCATCATCAAATTCATCAACAATACCAGAATCTCCTCTATCCTAAAAATTTTTATTTAGAGAATTAAAATTTTTAAGATTTAAGATCAGATTTCGCTTTTTAGTTTCTGAATAGACTCGGTTTTCCAAGGTTAATAACAAATATCACTAAATTTTAGAAGGAAGCGAGAGGAGTAATATAAAAATTATTTAAAAAATATCAGAATATTCTGACTTATAAAAATTATAAAAAAACACACCTGTTCTTCACCCTCATATTCAGCCATCCCATCCAAATGACGTCTATTCAACCTTTCTTCGTGTGCATCTAACTCTCCTTGTAAATCAGCCATTGCATCTTCTTCATCGCTAGCTAAGAATTCATCCTTTAAATTAAAAAATAATTCTAAAAAAATTATTATCAATTAAATATACTTGTCCCTTCTTGCTTGTTTCTACTTGTTCTCCACCAGCATCATTATCATTGCCACGAATTTTTCTAAATTTAAATTTTCAAAAAATTCTGACAAAAATTTCTTCAAACCTTTGTTGAATCTGTTGTTGTTCAAACACATCTTTATCTCTTTTTATTAAATGTGTAGAGAGTAAAGGAACAAAACGACTTTCAATTTCAAGCATTATTTTCTTTCTACGCAAATGACGAGCAATTTGATCACGTTTCTTATTTTTAAGTAGTTCAAGTCGAACAATATATTGACGATAACAAAGTCTAAAAATTCAAAGAATTTAACAATTAAAAGATTCTAATTACCCATCCTCTCTAGCAACAATTCCTTCAACAAGCGAAAAATTTTTCAAAACATGTCTAAGAGTTATGGGGCTAAATTCTGATTTAAGTTGCTGAACTTGTTCTTCAGTTACTTCAGGACGAATACAAATCTAGAAATGAGAATTAAGAATAATTTTTAAAAATTCAAAAATATTTTTTAATTTTTTACCTCAGCCATAGGTGTAGCAATTGATTTCCCCTGTGTCATCAAAATTTCTCTCAATCTAGGAATTCCTAAAGTAACGTTCATTTCACCTCTTCCAGCAAAGTGGAAAGTATTTAAAGTCATTTGTGTTGATGGTTCTCCAATAGATTGAGCAGCTAAAAGTCCAACAGACTCTCCTGGATCAGCATAAGCACGAAGGCCTTTCCAATAAATTGATCTTTTAAATAAATTTAGATTGCCGTCTAATTTAGATTTTTGAGCAAAATTATTTAATTGATTTAAAAAAGATTCTGGAAGTGAACCAAGATTTGTAGCAGGATGGAAAACCTGTTAAAAGATTTTAGAAGAAAAAATAAAAAGTTTATTAGAAACTAACCACATCAACAGGCTCTGGTGGCTTCAAATCTTTTGGAATATAAACCTCTCTTTCTTCTTTGTTTAATTTATTCCAATCAGCAACTAACGAATCTTTTAATAGATAATTTGAATCTACACTTTGATGGAATTGATTAAAAGCAGAAAATCGTTTATTCTTGCAGATATTCGCAATATCTACATTTTGACTTTTATCCTGTTTAAATTTAAAGATAATTCTACAATTTTCGAAGCCAAAAAGGGAAAGTAAAATATACTAAAAATACTAGATCCACACCTGATTCGCCACAATTATTTCAAATAAAATATAAAATTAACCTGCAATTCAAGAATTCTTCTTTGTTTAAATTTAGATATCCTTTTGTAGTGTTTCTCAGTTTCAGATAAATTCCATTTTGTGTGTTCCTCTTCTTCGGGATTATCGAATGATGGAATGAATAATTTTTGTATAGCTTCAATATTTTCAACAAGAAATGGAAATTGTTTTGAAGTGAGGAATGTTGAACGTCCAACATCAAGACCATCCTCTCCATAGCGGAACTTAAAAAAATTTAATAAATATATAAACAGAAGTTGATGCCTAAAAAACTATCGAAATTTTATACCTGAATAATACTATCATCAAAATTCCGCACACTATTGTCATAACGAACAGAAATTCCTTCCAAATGTTTAATAATACATCGTTGTAAATAACCGGAACGAGAAGTTTTGACAGCCGTGTCGATCAGACCCTTAAAATTTAACAAAATAATCAAAACAAACATAACTTTTAAATAAGATAAACTATGTTTCCTAATCCTAATCACACTCAAATTGTAAATATTTTAAAGAAATATAAATCACAAACTTCACGTCCAGCCATTGTGTGAAAAAACAATTCTTGTGGATTAATTCCAGTCAGAAAACGTTGTTCAACAAAACCTCCAGCTCTAGGGGATGGATCAAAACTTCTAAATGAAGGTAAAGATCGACCAGTAATTGAAAGAGCTGGTCGTTGACCTTCCAGTTCAATCTGGCCAAGTGCACAACTTATCTAATTTTTAAAATTTTAAAAATAAAAAAAACAACAACTTAATATTATAATTACTTGAATGGAATTGACTAGTGAACCTTTAGCACCGGATTGTATCATTAATTGAAGTGAGTTTCGTGGAAAATCTTTAATTAAGCCGGAAGGAACACACGCGCTAAAATTAGAGCAAATAACAATATTTTAAAAACTTTAATGAGAATCGTCCGCAATAAAATCAACGGGCTTAAGTTCCGAATGTCTCCCCCTCCCCCAAAAGATATTTAAAAACAAGATAAACCTATTAATTTGTTCTGCATATTTATTTATTGCTTGCTTCATTGAAAAATCAACCATTTTAACCATTTCTCGATCTCTTGGGTGGTTATAAGTTGATGCCAATGTATATCTAATTTTATCAAATGAAGTATCTTCTGGTAAGGAAAAGGCTTTTTGAACAACAGAATTCCCGCAGAATCTCAATTCTTCAATTAAAGACTTCCTTTGAGCATCAGCTTTTTTGGTAACCAAAATATCAGAAACGCCAAGTGAAAAGCCATGAAACTTAAAAATTTTACGAAAAATTAAAAAAGAATTTTTTGAATTTAAATACCTGTAAATGAGTGGTAAATACTCTTGAAAAACAGCTCAACATTTTTATAGCAACTTTGGGTCCATACAATTCGAAAACGCAATGAATTAATCCAAATTGTGTTGTTCCATAATGAGCTTTATCTAAAACGCCACAAAGAAGTTGTCCTCTCCTTTATTTTTATTTCACTATAAAAGTTTGTAAAAAATACAAAAAATACCGTATAATAACATTAGATTCACTCATTTCAAAAGATGGTGTATTCATTTCCTCTCCAGTAAATGGATCTCTAGCTTTCCAACAAGTAAGGGGAGTTTTTGCTTTTCCAGATAAATTTATTTGGGGTTTATCAGACGGGCAACAATTTTGTATAATTGCTGTTATGACCTAAATTATTTAAATAAATTCCGAAAAAAGGATAAAAGGTTTGAGAACATCGAATTCTAACCTGTTTTCCACTCCACAATTTTTGAGGTTTAATAATTGTCGGAGGCGGAATTGACAAATATTCTGTATATTGAGAAAATGCAGAGAGAATAAGATGCATAAAATCTTCTTTATTAAAGAATTGTCCTCTAAGAGTCATCAAGACACCAGAAACAACATGATCTTGAATAAGTCCAAGGATTGGAGTGCCATCTTTTGGAACCAAAAAGTTACTCCCAACACCGGCTAAAATTCAATAAAAGTTTAAAAAATAAGATAAAAATCAAACCTAATTCAGCAATTTCACTTTGTGCTACACGATTTTGGACAAAATGTCCATTCATTTCGTCGCCGTCAAAGTCAGCGTTATAAGCTTTGCAAGGGGCATAATTCATTCTTAATGCTTTTTGTGAATGTAAGACACGAACTCGATGACCCATTATTGAAGGTTTGTGCAGAGTAGGCTGTCGATTCATTAACATTCTATCGCCGTTCTGAAGGCTCCGTAATACCTGAAGAAAGAAGTTTAAATGAAATCAGTAGGTAAATTAGAAAATTGTCACTATAATTAAAATCCAATCCCAAAGACATAAAAAGATCCAAATTGTAATTTTGGATCTTTGAGTAATAAAATATGGTAAAAGAAGCTGAACGAGTTTACATGTTTGAATTTCTGGCAACGAAACTAAGCAGAAACTTGTTAGTCACACTTAAGAACAATCCAGAAAGTTATGCCAGCCCCTTATTCCAAACTATTAATTTAATTAAAACAAGAAAACTAACAACGTCAGGCATTGAATGGACACTATGAGTATTCCCAGCATGAAGTCGAGAAGAATAAAAGCCTCGATCTCTGTCAAAAGTTGGGCCAGATTTTAGCATTAATCTCATTGGTGGCTTTCCAAGCTTTCCAGATACCTAACAAACAAAATTTTAAAAATTAAACAAAAACTCTAAAAACCTCAATAAAACTTGCTCCCGGATGTTTATCAGGACCTCTTTTAACTAATTCTTTCATTGCATAAATATTTCTATCATTCAAAGCCTCTGGAAATGTTAACTTTCTTGCAAATAATTCAGGTATTCCAATTTCATCAATATCCAAATAAGGGTCTGGGGTAATAACTGAACGGCAAGCATAATTTACACGTTTACCCATCATATGCATTCGAAAAAGTCCCTCAAAAATTATTTTAAAATTTAACATAAAAATAATTTTAGCAATACCTCTTTCTTTTCCAATGTTTGCCTTAAACCAACTTGTCCAGCAGATGTGTCCAATCTATTAGCATCTTTGTCATACAATACATTTGCACGCATTTGTAATTCTAAATAGGCATTATGAAGTTTTTCATTCATTGTTTTGCCTGGTACACGACTTTCAATCATTTCCTTAAATTCTTGGTAGGATAAAAATAATCAAATTTCTTATTTAAATGGTAAAAACCAAAAAGCTTCTTTACTGGTGAAAACTAACCCCAATTTCAAGAAAAACTCGATTAAGAAAAGAATACATAGGATAAAAATTTATTTAAATTAAAAACCTTTGCAGCAATTCCACTATCTTTACCATCAGTTTTTATATACATTTTGATGAGTAAAATAAGTTGACTAGCTTCCAAAAGTTTTCTTAAATTAGAAGTAACAGAATGTTCAAATTTTTCAGAATTGAGATAACGAATTGGGCGAAAACGAGAAGGCTCAACCAGCACCTTTTAAATATAATTTTGTGAAAAGAATTTCTACAAATAACTACCGTTTCAATAAAAAGCGAGTCAATAGAAGGCAAATTTCCAAAACAAAATCCCTTAAAAATATAAGATTTAAATAAATATAAAATATATAAAACCTCATCTTTTTCATTAAATAAAGGAAATAAATGTTTTAATAAAAATCCTTCTCTCTGCCAAACTAGACGAAAATGTTCTCTAACTTCTGATGCTCTCCAAGCTAATTTATCACATTTCCCAATAATTATTTGTTGTAATTGAGCATCTAATAATTGATCACAAAGTGAGGATGTTGTAAATGAAATATCAGAAACTTTAGATTTTGGAGTTGTTAAACCAAACTTTAAAGAGCAAAAAAAAATGAAAATTTTAGAAACTTTAAGAAGAAAATTGAAAAGAATTTTAAAAATCAGAAATTTCTGTATCCAAAAATGCCCTTTTTAATTAAGTATTTAATTATGTATCAACAGTTACTCACAAACAAAACTCAAAAGTAAAGAATATTCCAAAAATTTAACCATTCAAAAATTAACCTTTTTATCAAAATCTATATCAAACTCCATCCCTCCTCCAATACCCAAATCAGGTCTCAAATCTTCAATTGAAACTTGGGGTAATTGTGGATGTCCTTTAGTTGGTGAACTATAAAAATCAAAAAAGGCTGGTAATTTTTAATAATTTTTAACAAACCTTTTGTTTTCTATTTTTGGAAGAGAACGTCCAGCTTTCACTAAAAATTTTTGAAAAAAAAATCTAGTAAAAATAAAACAAAAAAACCTGCATTTGTTTGTTTCGTAAAATCCAATAAAAAGGCTCTCTTAAAATCATTACGTAAATACCCATTAGGTCGTTTACATATTGGACATCGAGTTTTTCTTTTTAACTTTAAATTAATTAATTTTTAAAATTTTAAATAAAACTACCAATTCTTTTAAAAAAGTTTTTATCAAAATTTCTTTTTCATTTAAATCATTTCTCAAAATATTTTGATTAAAATAATTTTTTGAATTCAAAAAATCGGCAGAATCTATATTTGCTAATTTTGCAATGATTGAATCAATTTCTCTAAGAAATGCTTGTTCTCCCAATAATTCAATTTTTTCACCTAAAAATAAAATCTAAATGTAAAATAAATCAGTTATTGAATGTCAATAAAAAAAATGTTGGGGCGTCTATATGTTAACGTCTATGTTTCTTAACTGGGGAAAAATCCCAGGCTTATCCAAAGTCCCTAATTGTCAAACATGAAAATTGGTAAAATCCTCTATGTACATAAAATCCTCTATGTACATAAAATAGTAAACACGGAAGATAGACAGTTCAAAAGATAATTGGGATAATAATAAAAACCTATAGCTTCTCCATTTACAATTCTATTCTTAATCTCGCCGCTAATGCTTTCAAGTATTTCAGAAAAACCAAAATCTATCGCTCGGAGTTTTGCAATTAAAATTTTTGTAGGTATGGAATTTGTGTCAATTGTAAACCGATGGCAATGTATACATGTAGCCTTCATTATCTATTAAAGGAAAAATAAAATTGTCATATTTAAAGAATTACATTATTTATAAAGCTAAATAAAAGTGGATTAAAGACAGGCAATGCAAGTTCAATATGTCCATAATGCCCAGGACAATGATTGTCAGACAATCTACATGTATCACAAACGCCCTCAGAAGGTCCCAGACGAAGATCATAAAGGCCTCCACGCGTAGGAAATCCTACCTTAAATATTAACTCTTTTAGTTTTGTAAAAAATTTTTTAAAACAAAAACCTCATCAAAAGTATCAGCTTTAGTTATTTCCATTACACTAATTTTCCTAACTTCTTCTGATGTATATATTTTCATTTCCATTGCATCAAATTGCATAAAAGACCGGTTTTGTTTTACTGAGAGATCAGCGGATGAAGCCATTTGTAATAAAATAATATAAAACTATAAAAACTAAATTAATAAAGTAAAAAGAAGCTAAGAATAAGAAAAATAATCAATGTTTTTGCAACAAAAATTAAAACAAAATTTATTAAAATTTAATAATTTTCAAGTCAAATATTTAATAAAATGCAAGTGAATTTAAAATTAAGTAAAACAAATTTCGTGTAAATAAAGTCCCCAAAAAGGCACGATTATGGAAAGATATGTAAATGGCATTTTGGCGGAATGGTACTACTACTATCCAGCAGGGAACGGGCCAGGTTGTTCAAAAAAAAGTACTCCTTAACTTGCCGAATAGAATATAAGCAATTTTTCACTACTATATCGACATGACATAAGTATGTTTTAATCATGCATGTAGCATACCCCAAAAACATGTGTCGTTATAAATAATCACAACGACATCCTTCTAATAAACATAATCTCATAACTAACGGAATTTAAATCTAATTAACGAAATTTATTTGGATAAATAAAAACCCCAAAAAATGAATTTCTTTAAAATCATATCGATAATCTAAAAGTGTCTTTTTTACCCCAAAATTGCCAACACCAACATTTGTTTTAACGGTTAAACCGGGAGTTTTTTAAAATATTATTATCATTATGATAATTACCAATAAACTGCAGAATATTTCGATGATTTAATAACTTCATTAATAAGGCTTCTTTAAGTAATTTTGTGCTGTCATTCTGCTGTTTGACAGCAACTTCAGTTCCATTTAATAAAGCTTTACTTACAAATCCGAAGGTTCCAGCCCCCAATGATTTTCCAATTTTTAAGTTATCTCTCGATAATTCCCAACTACTTCTAATGATTGGATTTGTAATTGTTATTGTTCGGATCTGAAAATTATTAACAATTATTATTTAAATTTCGAATCTTAAAAGTTACTCACCAAATTGTTTTTCTTCTTCTTTAATTCCTTATTTATGAGATCCTCTATAGTATTGTGGTAACAATTGTTATTTTAGAGAAATCTTTAAACATAAAATTGAATTGTTGAGCTTTTTGTATTGTTGATACCACAAATACTATAGAGGATCTCATAAATAAGGAATTAAAGAAGAAAAACAATTTGGTGAGTAACTTTTAAGATTCGAAATTTAAATAATAATTGTTAATAATTTTCAGATCCGAACAATAACAATTACAAATCCAATCATTAGAAGTAGTTGGGAATTATCGAGAGATAACTTAAAAATTGGAAAATCATTGGGGGCTGGAACCTTCGGATTTGTAAGTAAAGCTTTATTAAATGGAACTGAAGTTGCTGTCAAACAGCAGAATGACAGCACAAAATTACTTAAAGAAGCCTTATTAATGAAGTTATTAAATCATCGAAATATTCTGCAGTTTATTGGTAATTATCATAATGATAATAATATTTTAAAAAACTCCCGGTTTAACCGTTAAAACAAATGTTGGTGTTGGCAATTTTGGGGTAAAAAAGACAAACTTTTAGATTATCGATTTGATTTTAAAGAAATTCATTTTTTGGGGTTTTTATTTGTCCAACTAAATTTCGTTAATTATTCTATATTTAAATTAATTAGTTATTTCCTAAATTACCATTAGTTATGAAATTATGTTTAGAAGGATAGCGTTGTGATTATGTCGAATATATGCCAGCCAAGTTAAAAATTATTTGTTTGTTATCCCACTCAATATCAAAAACATGTATGGAGCGGGGACGGCAGTAGTACCGGTGAAGTCTTGTAAAGTGAAATATAATCGTCAAAGGCGATCCCAACTATAATTTCAAGGAAATAACTAAAAAATTTGTTTGGTACTTCCTGTTATCTCCAGCAGGGTTTTAACTAACTAGATAGTATTATAAAAATTGAAAATTTCTGATGCCTACTTAATCCACCTTGCTCCATCAATTATCTCATGATCCCTCCACATCTCCCCTACTACCTCCATATCTCCAAGCTCTTAATATCCCTAATATACATCCACAAAATCCCTCCAAAACTCATTTTCAAAAGCTAGTTTTTTATAATACCAATGTACTATCTAGTTAATAACCGAGGAAAAACAGTGAGTACCACTTTTACATAATTTAAATTATAGGAATAAAAGTAGTAGAAATTTCTAGGACCTTTGACAATTTTTAAGAGGCATTGCAAAGAGAATATTATTACTAAAATTTTAAATATGGGATTTTACTTTTCATTGTTTGTTAAAATCAAAAGGTCACTTTTTATTGCTTCATTTTTTAAGGCACATACGTATTTAAGTGCAGTCATCTTAATTATTTTCCTTTTATACCGGATCGTTGTCATTCTCAAGATTTTGATATTGTCCTCCTCCTTGCCTTCGACGAGGAATACGTCTATCACGAAAAGTTTGAGCAGAATTTAAGTCAATGTGCTGAAAATTGAAAATAACTTTTAGGGAAACTTTTAATTTATAACTTCTAAGATTCTAAAAATTAGAAACGATTTCTAGCAGGGAGATGCGCCGAAATTTTTGCGTGACGTGCTGAACGTCAATTTTTCAAATAATTAAAATGTGCCGCTAAAAATAATCAAAAAAGGAATATCTCGATTCATTATGGTCAATTTATTCTCAAGGCGGGGCATAACTTTGTGATTTTTAATCAATTTAAATAACTAGTATCGTAACAATAGAAGCTTTTGATATAGGGATTATTTTATCTGAAAGGATTAGTTTGATCAAATCATATTATAAAAAGTTAAACATGGAAAAGTGCCAAAAAGTCATGATTTTTGATGATAACTTTTTGTAAGATGATCTGCTAAATTCAATCCTACTAGATAAAATAAGCACACAAAAACGCCACGCCAAAACCCCATAGCGCACATCGCTGATTTCTAGTGTAAATTATCTTATATCAACTTTTACCTCTGCACCACCCTTCTTATAAAGATTCACTTCATCAATTAAATCAGCCTTCTTTCTTTGCTCTTCAACCAAATTTTGATGTAAATCTTGAATAATTTCTTCAAGCTGTGCAATTTTCTGAAGATATTTTTTTCGTTCCTGTTCCATTTGAAATTCAACAAGATCACGAACACGTTTCTCATCCACATGTTTTTTCTTCTTTTTAGAATTTGCACGTCCAGCAGAATCATCATTAATGCCTTTTTGTCGACCCAAATAAGCCAACTTTTCAATAACCTTAAAAGAAATAATTTATAAAACGTTATAAAGAAAAACACAGACTTGTTCTTTAAGTTTAATTTCGCGTTGACATCGATGAATAAGTTGATCTCTAGAGAGCATTTCCAACTCGCCAGAAGACGAAAGAATAGAATTATTATTATTGTGTAATTGAACTGAAGCAAAAGAATTTGTTGCAGAAACAAGTGAAGAAGTAGAAACAGCACTAGATAAAGTATTTGTTCCGCCAAAAACTGGAGCTAATCCCATAGGTCCATGTGAATGTTTACGTATTTGGTTAATTTCTTCTTGAAGTTGTTTATTTTGGCTAATTAATTCATTTTCTTTTTTGGATGCCTAAAAATAATTTTTTTAATTTGAAAAAAAAATATAAAAATAACCAAATTAAGATTAGCTGTCAACGATTTATATTCTTGTTCATGCCTCTGCATTGCTGCACGCAATTCAGTCTCCAAAAAGGACTTATCTTTTTGCAGGTCAACAAAACTATTTTGCAAATGTTGATGCGAAACACGTTCCCGTTCCAATGTAAGCATAAATTCTTCAATTTGTTGTCTAAATTAAATATGTAAAATCAGAAAAATTTTTAAATTTAAAATATTAAAGATGTCAAAAATCCAGTTCTTTTAATAAGAACATCGATTCCTAAAATTTTTTCGAATTCGGGGAGACTAATGGGCATATTTTTCCGTCTAACTGAATTTGAATAATTTACAGGAGAAACCCCAAATTTAATTATAAACTTATTACCCCATATTTTGAAATTTTTTCTCCTTTTCTTCATTATCCTTTGCCCGTGCCTCAATTTCAACTTTGAAAAGTCCAGATAATTTTTGCTCAGCTTCAAGTCTTTGTTGACAATCTGAGAAAAGTCGTCTTTGTCCCTCCAGCTGCTCCTGAAGGTCTTCAATTTTATTTTCAAGAACCCGTCTTTGATATTTCAATTCTCCAACCTGACAAAAAAAAGAAATTAATTTAGAAAGGAATAAATATATAAGGGAATTTTGTATTCTACTAACATATGTAAATAATGACAAAAGGTCGTCGGTGTAAATGTTCGAGCTTACATGATTTTCAAAATAATATTTACCTTATGTTAGTGCAACTTGAAATATATCCGATCAAATACAAAAAACCCAACCTCATGAGAAAGTCTTGGTGGTGGAGCAGCTGGTGCTGCAGTTGCATTGTTGTTGTTATTATTCAAATGATGGTTGTTTATTTGCTGCTGTTGCTCAAGTTGTTCCTTACATTTTTGAAGATGAAGCTCCAACATTTTATTTGTCTCTCGCAACTGTTCTGCCTAAAATTTAAAAAAATTAAAAAACAGAAAGAAAAAAACAAAATTGCAAAAAAAAATCATTTTACAAAAAATGTTCTAATATTTACCTCTTGTTGTGTCGGTGTCAACTTTCCAACCTCTACTTCAAGCTCTTTTATTCGACCAGACAAATTTTCCTTCTCTTGTTTTAGAGAATCAACCTAAAAAATAACAATTTTAACAAAATTATAATTTAAAATATTATTTTTCTAAAATACTTCTGACTCGATCATTTCTTGATTTTGCTTCATCTCTGCGCATTTCATTTCCAAAATTTCTCTTTCCTTTGCCAACAAATCAATCTAAAATTTAAATTTGTAAAAATATTAGTTTAAATAGGTAAACCTCAGCCTTTGCAGAATTTGTCTCTATTTTTAATTGTTCTTTAATATTTTTTAATTGTTGCTGGAGAAGTTCATTCTCGTTGGTTAACTCATCAACCTTCTAAAATAAAAATTAACCATTTTTTAAAGAATTAACTCATTAGAAAATCCTATCAAAAGTCAAATGTAAATACAGGAAATTTAATTAAAATTTTTAACAGAAAATTTTACCTCTTCTAAATGACAATTATTTTCACCTCCACAACTCCCATTAACTGCAGGAGTGTCTAACAAATTATTATTTCCATTTACAATTGGCTGAAGTACGGCTTCTTCAAGTTGTTTTTTAATTAAATCCAATGGACTTAAAATATTTATTTATCACAGTATAATTTTTATAAAAAAAAAGTAAATACCCAAATTCGTTGGAGAAAGTAAATCCAATAAAAGGCAATTGATTGCCGGTAAAAGCCTTTGGAATTTGAAAACTTTCACAATCAACAGGATCCGCAGGCTCAACATCGTCAAAATGGGACGTATCATCATCACCAAGAAGATCGGGAACATATGGAGGTGTTGCTAAATTTAAAAATTAAATTATAGAAAATAAAAAATATATGAAAGCCAAAAAAACACAAAGTGAAAATGAAATATTATTGAGTCCAAAATTTAAAAAAAATTACATTTTTGAATTGAGTCAAAAGTCCAAACAGAATTTTTAAAGAATGCATGTCCTCGTATCGCAGAAATTCCATCACGTCCAAGTCGAATGTTAGGTTCAGAAAGAAAACTTCGAATAATATCTTTAGCACTGCTAGTCACTTTAACATCTCCAGGAAATTTTAATTGTTTGTTGTGATCCATAATTTTTGAATAAGTTTGGACCAAACTTTCAGCATAAAAAGGAGTTTCTCCAAAAAGCATTTCATAAAGAAATACACCAACAGCCCACCAATCCACTTCTCGTCCATAAACACCCTCTCCTCCTTGTGAACGGAGAACTTCAGGGCTAATATAGTCTGGAGTGCCAACAGCCATTGAACAACGGACA